AAATCAGAAAGAGGTAGCTAGGAGAAAKACAAGCTTTTTTGTTAGAGATAATTTTTTTAATCTAGACTCTTAGCTCGAGGTGTTATTGATATAGCTGAGATAATTAAGCTTTATCCCCAGCAGGCAGGGCTGTTTGCAGAAGCATTAATACAGGTGCAATGACACATTCATTGGGAGGAACTGGCTGGCTGAGCCTCTCTCTTCAACCTTGCAAAGTTACCTTGACTTTGGATCTTAAAAAATCTGGGAAATGGAGCTGAGGACAGGGCCCAGCCCTRTTTCTCAGGGTCCAGCCCCAGGTTTTTGTTGAAAGGTGAATCAAGACTTTGTTAAACATCCTATTTTGAACCAGGAGCGTGGGCAGAGCTGCATCACAGGAGTTCAGGTAGTTTCCATGGATGTTAATGCTGCCTCTTGCAAGTGACACATCTGCCAAGCACCAGGAAGCAGTTTGGGACAAAAGTCTCCCTGCTGGCCAGCAGGAATTTTAGTCAAAAATCTGAATTTCGCAGCACTCCTGGCCGACTGCAGCTCACTGACTGATTACCAGCGATGCCTTTTCCTCGGCAGCGGTCTGAAAAATAAAATTCTCTATTCTTGCATCCCTTGGCAAACACTGGAAGAGCTAATAATGCTGTCATGGTTCTCAGTGYTGCCTTTCCTGTGGGTTCCCAGGCTGGGGTGATGTTTGCTCACATCCAAGGCTGTGTGGCTGCGCTGGGCCAGCCCCTGGTTCATAAGGATGGAGATATCAGTCTCTGTCAGCTAGGGCTTGGAGCCTTGCTTGGGATTATGGATGGCTGCTTGAGGCACGTGGGGAGCTCTGCAACCCGTGCCTGGGCCTAAATCTTGAAAGAGGGAGAAGTTTCTCAGGTTTAAGGGATGTTCATTGCTGCTCCTCTCTGCTTGGGGTGCTGGCAGCGTCTGCTCGCAGGACCCAGCTCTCAGCAGCTCAGGAATGGGGGGCTTTTATTAAATTCAAATCAACCCCGCAGCAGGTTGTCTGTGATGCAAATCCTTCCTCCTGATGTCTGATCTCATTAGGGACATTTGGGGAATMAGCTCAGGGTGCCCCTCCCTTGGTGGCCAGGGAGGATTTGCAGCCCTCCCTCTCTGCTAAAATGGATTTTGTCCGGTTTCAAAGCAGCGCTTTGTCACAAATCATCAGAAATCCACACTGGAACACTGGGAAGAGTGTTATATGCAAGGATGAAAAGCTGAATTANACTGGGAAGAGTGTTATATGCAAGGATGAAAAGCTGAATTATCCTGCTGTAAAGTGAAATGGGAAAAAATTTAAAAAAAAAGAAAAAAAAAAAAAAGGAAAGAGCAGTAACAATGGAAAAGGGGATGTTTGCCTGGATTGTGTGTGTCTCAAGGAAAGGCGAGTTTAACCTGCTGTAATGCAGGGTCACTTCCCGTTAGCAAAACCCCCTGAAGGGAGAGAGGGGCAAATGTAAAAAGATACTTTACAGTAAAACAATATACTTATTTTACTCCCAGATCAAGGATCCTTTCTTTTTYTTAAAGGAGCTTTTGAAAACCTACCCTTGGTTGTACAGAATATTTTTAACTCCTCCAATATTGTATGGTTTTTACTAAGKCATTATTTAAAAATGGAGCTGTTGTCATCTTCTTTCTTGCACAGGGCAAAAATGACTCTTCTCCAGCTGTAATTATGACTCTGTCCCTTAAATTTGCTCCTATAAGCAGCTGAACTTTTACAACTACAATCTGTACTGGCTGCATTTTATTAATGGAGTCATTCTGCTTTCTGTTTCTTTGAGTTTTGCTCTCCCATATCTCCCACAGCATTACACTTGCATGTCTTTGTTCGTTAGTTTTAAAGCCTTTCCTCAGCTGGGATAATAGCAAAAACATCTATTTCTGGCCATCCAGTTGCAATTCTGGCTATTCTCAKTGGGGAATATATATTTCAGGTTGGGTTGGTGGGGATTGAGATYTCTGATTCCAGATAGTCTTAATGAGAGTAGCAGCCCTGATTCCCCACACAGAATATTGAAAACGGGTCCAGGGTGTACAGAATGAAATGCTGTGATCTTACCTTTGAGCACCTTTGCTTTGTTCTTTTTTTTTTTAATTCTAAATATCATTTGCATCTGCGTTAGTTCATTGAGAGCTGCTTTGAGGGTGAGGGAGTTGATTTTTGGATCCTCTTTCTGCTTTGCTTTGCTTTGTGCTTTCCTGGGGTTTGGCTATACCTGGGTGCACCTTTGGAAGRGAAAGGTTAATTCAGGAGGGAGCTGGAAGAAAGAATTCAGCAAATTGACTCTGTTATTATTCTGATTGCCTTCAGTGTTAGACGAGAACAAGACGCACCTTTTTTATTGCCTTAATTAACTACCACCAAAAGAAAAAAATCCCCACCATACTGTGAATCTAATAAGGATTAAGATTTAGTTAGAATATTAGAACCAGATCCACAAGGAACACACTTCTCCTGCAGGAAGGATGTGTCGATTTTATTCCTGAATTTCATCAGGAAATCATGGGGCTTTTAATTTTCTCAAGGCATCCTTTGATCATAAAATGCTGAGAAGCATCCATCACCTTTTTCTAATTTTAGACCCCAATTGTAGCTTTGTTCTTGCACTTTTTTTTCCTTCTCTCCTCATCCACATCCTCGCAGGGATTCCCCAGAGCTTGTGGGGAGAAGCCACTGGTGGTTTTTCCTTCAGCAGGGAAGTGGTGCAGAAGGGACAGAAAGTTTGCTCCATTTGCACAACCTGGAAATTTCAATATTTCCTGCAGCTCAATTGCCCATTCTTGAAAGTTCCTGTACTTACACTTGAGAGGCAATATCCAGGAGTRGCTGGGCTGGTAGTTGGGAGCAAATGGAGTGTGAACACTGCAGGCAGCTCTTCTTTGCTTGGTTCAGATCAATGTTCTGAATTGGAGATGGGATTTGGAGTCTCCTTCCCTCACTCTGCTCTCCGCTGTTTTTCCCTTCTCCCATTTTGATCCCTGATGATCCCTGCTGGTTTTGGGCAGTCYCTCCTGGGGACCAGCAGTGCTTTGAGCAGTTGGCACTGAGGAATCTCTGTGGCTCCCCAGCACACATTTGCTTCACAGACCATTCCTGATGTGAAGGCGAATTATCTCCCGCTGTGACACTGCCACGGATGAGCAGAAACCTTCTCTCCTTTCCTCTTCCTGYTCTGCTTTCTGCTGGCCAGCAAACTATTTTAATTTAAAAGGTGATTTAATGAGATAATCTGTTTTCCATTCAGGTTCTTTCYGTAGCTTAGCTCCCCTCCTTTTCTTTCCCCTCTATCCATCTGACATCTTGGCTGCCTGAGTGAAATAACCTCCCCTGCTGCTCTGCAGTTCCTCAGTGCTACCTGCTGCTTTCTTCATCTTCTCCCATCCCACTGCTGGTTCCTACCTCCTCCCACAGCCACCCTTTGAGCCCCTGGCCCCGTTAATCTGTCCCAGAGTGCTTCCCCTCTCTGTGTCATGGGACGTTTTTGTGTCAGGGAATGAAGGAACAGATCCCTGGACATGAGCTCTGAGGGATGCACAGAATCCAGCCAGCCCAGTTTCCTGAGAGCATTTGCATCAAAACTGTTTCCATYTGAGCAAAGAGCTTGGTTGTGACAAAAGAGAAGGGAAATATTTGCAATTTATGAAGAACAAGGAGCAAAGTAAGTTCTGYCAGAGAGGAGAGCTCGGATGCTGCYCCAGARTTCGGGAGCTCYGTGGSCACATCCTTGCTTTGACCASATTTTCTGTAAGGCYKTRAAATTGCTTTGGATGGGGTTCATCTGAATGATTTTTATTTTTAAAAAGGTTTGGTTTTTTCCCTGTTTGTGCTGATCTTGAGGGATCCCCCAGCAGATCCCTGAGGAGTTTCCTCCTCCTCACTGTGCAGGCAGTGAGAGGAGCTCAGCTGTTATGGTTGGAGTCGATGATCTCTGAGTGCTTTGCCAACCTAAACAATTCCGTGATTCTTTGCTCCAAACTCTGATCCACAGGGAAATGCTGGCTCTTACTGCCTGTGATTCCCTCAGAAATCCAGGACAAAAAGAGACAGGAGCCAGGCAGGTCATTCAAATGCCCAGGAGACCATCCCTTTGTGGAAAAGAATATTTCTTATCTATTATAGCTGGATTAAAGATTGGGAAAGTGAACTGAAAACTCCTGACACSACAGGATCTGGTTTTAATGAGTGACTAGAAAATGAGGAAGKKTCCAGCACAGAATCCTAGAAACWCAGAATCATTTAGGTTGGAAAAACCCTTTAGGATCATCACATCCAAGCATCACCCCAACACTGCCAAGCCCATCCCTGATCCGTGTCCCCAAGTGCCTCCTCCACAAATTCCCTAAATCCCTGCAGGCCCATCTCACCCTTTCTCATGGATTGGCTCAAAGGAGGAAAACATTCCTCATCTTCCCTCTGTCCTCAACCAAGACATGGGAAAGAAGTGTTTAGAGAGGGGTAGCTGGGAATAAATCAGCAGGAAAGGAATTGTGTTAAATTTGCTTTTTAAAAGCCAACAAGAAGAAAGAAGAAGTCACAGCAATGCTTTGCAATGGAATTTTTTTTTATGAAACCTACAGCTTCAGGATCCTTCCACACCAATAAAAATAATGTGGATTAGAGGCCTGAAGAAAAAGATGTTCCTATGTTATAGAATTTGTTTTGTTTTTATTTTTTCATGTTTTTCACAGGAATATCCCCACATTACAGGATTTGGGGCTGTTTTTCACAGGATTATCCCCACATTACAGGATTTGGGGCTGTTTTTCACAGGAATATTCCAACATTACAGGATTTGGGGCTGTTTTTCCTGTTTTTCACAGGAATACCCCCACATTACAGGATTTGGGGCTGTTTTTCACAGGAATATCCCCACATTACAGGATTTGGGGCTGTTTTACACAGGAATATCTCCACATTACAAGATTTGGGGTTGTTTTACACAGGATTTTCCCCACATTACAGAATTTGAGGCTGTTTTTTCTGTTTTTCCCAGGAACACCAGTGCTGTTGGGATGCAGAAACAGGAGCAGTACAACAACCCCACGTTCCCTTCCAGATGGAACCTCCAAAGATCCCTCCAAAGACACCTCCAAACCCAAAGAGATCCAAGCCCAGGGTGTCCTRAAACCAAAAATATCCGTCTCCAACAGTTTATGCAACATCAAGGCGTCCTCGAGGATCCTGCAGGAGGAAAACAGGCAAAAGCAGCTCCTAAAAAGTAAGGTACAAATCCTACTGTGGTTGTCAGGAATATGGTTTCAATAACGAGATGAGATCAGTCTCGAAGCAAAAAAAAATGAAATAATGGAAATTCAGGCCATTTTTGTCCAGCTTTAAGTGTGGAGTGTGAGTCATCTGGTGAGAGATCAATCAGCTAATCTGACTGTATGCATTGCTATGGTTAACAGAAAACAAGATTAAAATGACAAAGATAGGCTCAGATTCCCAAGAAAATCTTGAAAAAGCATTAAAATTGTAAAGTCAAGGAGCCCCAGACCAACCAAGTAATACCAGAAGTGGGGTTATTTTTACAGCCTTGTTTTGATACCTTTCCTTCACTCCTGCATCCTTTTTTTTTTTTTTTTTTTTTTGACACAACAAACTGAACTGTGATTATTAATAAGGTTTCAGCGTGTAAAACGTATTTTTTGGGTTCAGCAGCGTCTGGAATGTCTTACCTGCAACATTTCTTCTCACAGCTAAAATGCAGATGACAGCAGCAGCTGTACTCATGCATCAGGTATCTTTGCAGAAGACAAATGAGATTAATTTGGGTTTAACACCAATTTATTGAGAAATTTATTCTTTAAAAATGCTGTTATGGTCACAGAGCCTTTTTTTTCCCTACAGCTGTTTTTTCTTAGATTTTTTTGCAGGCAGGTAGGCAAAACTTTGTTATTATTGAGCCTAAAGTTACTGAAAGTCACACTTTTGGATTTCAAATGCTGCATTTAGAGCCTGAAGTTAAATCAGGCCATTCCCCTAATTGGAAGTGACTTTTGTTTTACAAAAGTGAAGCATCCACTGAGGTCTGGCAAAGACCAACTTAATCCACACCTCTGTAAACCTGGCTTAGGGAGGAATTTAATTTCATGTTCACAGGTTTCAAGGTTTATTCCAAAATGTTGGTGAGAACGGTATTAGGGAGGAAATACAGCTCAGGCTTTTATAAGGCAAATGTACCCAACACAGATCTTTTTAATATGTTTTTTAAGTACAATATAATATGTACAATATGTCATAAAGAGGAAAATATTTTAAGTTTATTGTAACCAAAAATTGAAATAAAACAGTAACGGGCTTTATTCCCAGATATTTAGTTCTAGAAATCGAATTATTTGGCAAGGAAGGAGTACTCCAGTGTGACTTTTGAAAATAGTTCATATGGAGCTCTTCTGGAGTTCCTTTGTTAGTTTGGATTCGTTCTGAATGAGAATCTTGTCAGCTCTGATTTTTGAGCACGCAGCCTCTTTTGGTCCTGATTTGTGCAGGGGCTATCAGTCAGTGAGCATTAAACTTAATTGTAAGCATAGGAAATAATCTCTTTTTCTCAATGTGGACTGACAGCTTTCATAATAATGCACTCCAATGCACAATAACCTTCAGTTGATTTTTTTTTCTTCATGGAATCTTTCCACTGGTTAATGGACATGTGGGAATGTCAGAAAGCAAACTGGATTATAAATAAAGGGAAAAAAAACCCAACCAGTGGTGCTGATGRAAGTCTCAGTGTGGTCAAAGGGAAATTCTGTGTGGTTAAAGCCCACAACAATCTGGTATTTTCTGCAATAAATTGGAATGAACTCCAACTGCAGGTCATGGCGAGATATCCCTGGTGCAGCTTTTGGGAAGGGAGCACCAGGAGAGAGCTGAGCATCCCAGAGGTTTAACTGTGATTGTGATCTAATTGGGATTGTGATTTAATTGCAATTGTGGTTTAATTGCGATTGTGGTTTGTGATTCTGACGTAATTGTGATTCTGATTTAATTGCAATTGTGGTTTGATTGTGATTCTGATTTAGTTGTGATTTAATTGTGATTCTGATTTAATCATGATTCTGATTTAATTTGGATTGTGATTTAATCATGATTCTGATTTAATTGTGATTCTGATTTAGTTGTGATTGTGGTTTAATCATGATTCTGATTTAGTTGTGATTGTGATTTAATTGTGATTCTGATACAATTGTGATTGTGATTTAATAGCGACTGTGGTTTGATTGTGATTCTCATTTAATTGCAAGTGTGATTTAATTGCGATTCTGATTTAATTGAGATTCTGATTTAATCGTGATTCTGATTTAATTGAGATTTTGATTTAATTGAGATTCTGATTTAATCGTGATTCTGATTTAACTGAGATTTTGATTTAACTGTGATTCTGATGTAATTGTGATCCTGATTTAATTGTGACTGTGCTGATGCTCCGTGTGAGGTCTGGATGATGTGAGACACACTGGGGATGTCCCAGTGTTTGATCTGTCACTCTTATTCCAGGAACAGCCCTCTCCGTCTAACGAGACAGAGAACCCAATCACCAATTAGCCATGTGCTCCTAATGAACTTTCCAATCTCTCCAAGGTGACGAKGAACCCCGCGGTTCCAGGGACAGAGCCAAGGAGCTGAAGGCGCAGGAGGAGCGGGAGCGGGGCAGGAGGGTGGCACTGGCCAGGGTGACACTGGCCCGGGTGACACTGGCCAGGACCCGCTCCCCAGCTGTGGCTTGGGAGAAAAATGTGCTCAGCTGGCCAGGAGCCAGCTCCCAGCTGGACAAAACCCCAGCAGCCCCATGGACACTGCGGGTAAAGCAGAAATTTGTTTCCTTTTTTCTGCAATTTTCCTTTTCTTTCCCTTTTTCCTTTTCTCCCCTTATTATTCTTTTCTTTCCTTTCCCCTTTTCCTTTTCCTTTTCTCCTCTTATTTTTCTTTTCTTTCCCTTTTTCCTTTTCTCCTATCATTTCTCTTTTCATTCCCTTTTCCCTTTTCCCTTTTCCCTTTATTTTTCTTTCCTTTCCCTTTTCCCTTTTCTCCATTTCGCCCCCCAATGAATGGTGTTTTTTTCCTGGGAACTGGCTGAGGGCAGAAGTCACATTCCCTTGGTTTTTGTCCTTCCCAGTGAAGTTTTGGTGGTTTGTATCCACTGCCAACCTTTGCCTGCTTGTCTGGTTGTCCAAGCTGCCCGTTTTGAGCCSCAGCTGCTGTTCCTGTTGGAGAACTCATTGAGAATTTGGGGATTTACAGATTCCCAGTTCCCCAAATGTCTGGCATTTCCAGCACCACTGCAGGCGTGGACATGGCCGTGGTTGGTACCAGGCTCCAGCACAGATGGATTTTCTCACCTTTTCCTCCAGCACAAATTGCWCACCCATCTCTGCTCCTGCCCTAAGACATGCCTAAATGTCAAAGCAGCCTTTGACTGGGAAGTGTTTTCTCTCTGAATCAGCCACGAAGAGATCTGACAGTCTAAATAAACAGGAAAGTTTGTGAACTGTCAGTGACAAGTTGCTTCGGTGATGGGGTGAGAAAAGGAAACAGGCAAAACATCAAGAACTCGAATTTGGATGTGAAAATAAGCAATTCAAAACATTAAAATGTATAAACTTGATAGGACAAGGGRAAGTGGCTTCCCACTGCCGGAGGGCAGGGATGGATGGGATTTTGGGGAGGAATTGTTCCCTGGAGGGTGGGGAGGGKTKGGRWKGRAWTYCYKGRRRARSYKG